CTCAAACTGACAAGGAATGTCCTTCAGGTCGCCATGGCCGTTCTACATGAGATGTATACCACTCTGATGCGTCTCTGAGACGCTGATTTCCAAATCTGCCTTCCAAATCTGCTAAACGACTCTCCGAACGGAGTTATGAAGCGTAATAGCTCAGTGGTGATGGTCCGGGGTGGCAGGTAAAAGCTCGTAGGATCGGTTCCTTTGCAAATTGGTTGCTTTGCTTTTGTCTCTAGAAGTGTTGCGGACAAAAGCAAAGCAACAAACTTGCAAAGGAACCGATCCTACGAGCTTTTACCTGCCACCCCGGACCATCACCACTGAGCTATTACGCTTCATAACTCCGTTCGGAGAGTCGTTTAGCAGATTTGGAAGGCAGATTCGAATCAGCGTGTCAGAATGCATAGAGTGGTATACATCTCATGTAGAACGGCCATGGCGACCTGAAGGACATTCCTTGTTAGTTGGTGAAGGAAGGGGACGGGCTCCAATTCTCTCCAAGCACTTGCATCTACTAGCGGCTCCTGACATTCGTAGTACAGCAGAAGCTGAGAAATGCCGTGTTTCAGTGCTTAGAGAGCTTGGTGTATACATATTTTCGCATTACTCTGTTTTTAAAATGTAAACAAAATAAACATTTGAAATAAGTGAAAACAACAAGAAATATTATATTTGAAGAAAACAAATGGAGGAAAGGGAAAGGCAACGTACTATCCACATTGTCACCTCATCGAACCTCGGATCTACTCTCACCCAGGCCAGCAACCTAGGAGGTTGAAAACTGACTCGGGCATTAGTCAGCTCCAACCCTGCAACACTAAATACCAAATACACATTCAAATGTTCAAATGTCAAATTTTTCGAAATTTAGGTGCGCGGCGTACCCGAAATTCTTCCCATGTAAAACTAAGAATAAACCCTGCACTGCAGATTCTCAGTCACCTTACGCGCAGGGCCATCTAAAAGTACGACAAAATGAGGACAACAGAGTAATAAGGTGATAAGGAATTGTAGATAGATCATGTATACAGACACAGAGCTGAGGAAATCGAAAATTCTCATGCGACAGCAAATGAATGAGCTGTCAAAAAGGACAAGCGAGGTAATAAAACGTTTGATGTCAATGAAACCATCGAAAGCGTAGAGGTTTTGAAATCTTACGAAACCATGGAGCTTACCATTAGCTATCAATTGCAAAACAATTGAGACTTGAAAGTTTCTGTAGATCTGCTATAACTCATGGATAATGAAAGGAATGGTTGACTGGCTCAATGTTCATGATAATCCCATCTCACGTAGGTAGAAGGCGGTTACTATAACTACCGCACACCTCCGTTCTATCCTCAAACTACGACTTTCTCAAAATTATTATTATTTATTATTATTTGCTATCGGTTATAAACACAAACAACACAAAACATTACATTACATAGCAATTTCCGGTAATCACCTCTATCACCTGTCGACCCATTGATCATCGAATAGCTCGAGCGGGCGCCAGCAACGTCTCCATTCGTCCCTGTCGCGTGCAAGGGTTGTCCAGTGGACCCTCGAGTCCTTCATTCCTTTCGTTCAGAGCTTTCGTGAAGAAGTCTGACCATCGGGCCGGCGGTCGTCCAGGTGTTCGTTTGACGTCCCGAGGGATCCAGTCGGTAACCGCTCTGGTCCAACGGTCATCGCAAAATCGCATGACGTGTCCGGCCCACCTTATCTTCGATTCCTTGGCGAAAACGGCAGCGTCCCTGATCTTCGATCGTTGGCGTAGTTCGGCACTCCGGATTCCCCTCTGCACTTGCGTGTATAGGGTTACTCCTAGCATCGTCCTCTCGACAGCGCGTTGGATAACGCTGACCGCATGCTCGTCCTGCCTGCGCAGAGTCCAAGTCTCTGAGGCGTAGGTTAGGGCAGGAAGGACAGCGGAATCGAAGAGGTGGGCACGGAGCCGGATGTTCTTCGTCTTCTTCACTACTCCCTCGATGTTCTTGTACGCTCCCCAAGCCGCTCGTTTCCTCCTGCTCAGCTCTGGAGCTAGATCGTTCATCATGTTGATTTCCCGACCTAGGTTCCGACAATGCATGTGAGAAATCAAAAAGACCAAAAGACTACCAGCTGCAAGAGCCTAAAGGGGTAATGTCATTAGTGGTAATGGGAAGGTACCAAGATGTTGAAGGCAGGACACTCGGTGGTGAAGAGCAGTGGCCCGCCAACAAAAAAAAAAACGCCAAACAAAAGAACAAAAACAAAAAAAAAAGAAATTGAACTATCGATGTGTTTTGAGCGATAGCTATCGCCCCCTGCAACAACTATTCATCACTAGGAATTGGGTTGACGCACGCCGAATTTGACAAGGGATTTGATCCAGAGACCATTTGCGCGATAGCGGCCACTGTTGTCACCTCACCATCTCCGCTCGAATGAATATTTTGAAAATATGAATCAAAAGTTTCATGAAAATTTACAAGCATACATTTCAGTATTAAGGACTATGCGGCTTGAAAAATAACCGTTTGAGAGCTGCGAACACGACCTGTTACCTGAGGTATGACTTACTTCACTTACTTATCCAGGGTAAGTCGCCTTGAACTGTGTCTATGTGTTGCCAGAGAAAGAATTATAAAATTTCTATATGTGCACGACTTCGCCATCAAGCGAGTGTACTGCCTTTGACTACGGAAAGGGTACACATGTGTAAAAACAGTAGTCAATGTTTGCTCAATGCGGTTCAACCACTGAGCCGACTCTGAGATTGTTATCAAGGACTCAATCCTAGTCGTACGTTACAAAACTCTCGAGAAAAAAATACCGTTCTTGTTGCGCAAAAGAAGCGCCGACAACAGCTCACACTGTCGACTCCGCTGTTGCATTTCACTTCATTTGTCTCCATCCTCGACCTCCCGAGTCCCAACACTACACCTAGGAACGCTGCTAGTTTTCGCACACCACTACGTCGCTTTCTGCAGGAACTCCTTTATGTTAAAGTGATCGAGCGTGAATCACATGAGCGAAGTCATCTTGATGATCGAACTCGCCATGGTGAAACTTCTGTGACCAGTAAGAAAATTCTCTTAAAAGCACTTTCTCGACGAAACACAACATTTGAGTTTCCTGTTTTTCAACCAAGCCGGGGTTGCTTACTTACTTAACTTTGATAGTCCTCAGCTGCACGTGATTTCTCAGCGGGGGACTACAGCGTATCTTCAAGCTGGTAGTTGTAATGCAAATAAATTAGTCAATTCGCTAGTTTGATGCCTCCTTCTAACCGCTGAGTTCCACCAAAAATTCGAGTAGTGCTAATATTTATACACCAACACCCGGCAACTGCCGGTCCTCTCTTCCCTGCGTAAGCTTTGCGTTCCTCCCTCTTCCCCTTGTCCTCACCCTACCGTCCATTGCTCTCAGCTGCCACTGCACCACATTATGGAATGACCGGAAGTGTGCTACGTAGATGTTTATATGGCCGTTGCGGTGTTATCACAATCATGCCATTGAAAACATTGACAGGGCAAGCCCTACGAGTTACCCAAATTTGTTAGCCGCTTGTTGATTCCATTAGCTGCCTTATCATTCGGTTTTGTGGACGGACATACAGACAAATAACACACATAAACACAAAAAGACCGACCACCGAGGTTGTGGTTTATATAATAAAGAAATACCGTGAGCAGGGCGTAAAATGATCTTCTCTAATAAATGCAATAATAGAATCCCCGTCAATAAATTTGTTGCCAAAATGTGCACAGAAAAGCAGGGTCACAAGGTCGACATTAATTTCTGGACAATCTAATATCTCACAAGGGGACCAGAGAGGTCTCCCTTGTGCAATTATTAGATCCTGTCAGAAATCTGAGCCGTGCCACCTTTATCCTTTAACCTTTTTTGTGGGACACGCGCCCACAAACTGGTTAAAATATAAGGTTGGGCGGAAGTGGTGTAGTGACAAGTGGCGCGCTTACCACGCGAGCGGTCCGGGGATCAAATCCTGGGTCGTGAGTCGCCCGGGCCAACCAAGCCTTCCATCCCTCCGGGGTCGGTTAATTGGTACCAGACTTGTCTGGGAGGATAAAAACACTGACTTGTACATCGGCTGGCCCCCGCAAGTCATTGTATAGGCCACATCGCATTCAAACGCCACTACGAATGTACAAATGGAAGTAGAATGCGTGCCGCATCCCAAAAAGGGATTGATCAACGGCAAATGCTTTATCCTTTTATTTTACAAAAGGGTTAATAACAAATTACCCTGCAAATGCTAACAGTGCTATTATCGCGCGAGGTGATGGGAACTGATTTGATCTGAGTCATACATCGCCTCGCCCAGCGGTGATTTCAACACCACGGCCAACGCGGACGTGGACGCGTGTCATAGTAACGACGGTATAAAAAGGAGAACACCTGGGAGAAGGTCCAGCTTCTTGCTCTTCTCCTCAACTTTTCGTTGACGTTCTCTTCTTCTACGGTCACCAGAATCATGTCCTACTGCACCTATTGTATTGAATGTCGGTGGAACGAAGTTCTCAACGTCAGAAGCGACACTCAAAAGTCGCCCAGCAAGCGAGGACTGCTTTTTCACAACACTGGACTACTCGGTACAGTACCTCTTGCGAGTTGTGATGCAATTTCCTTGGGGAAATAGTACGGAAATAGTACTATTATAGTAATAACTTTCCAGAAGGGCGAAGTGTTCATCGATCGTGATCCTACTCTGTTCAAGTATATCCTCAACTACCTGCGAGATGGCCGAATGATGTTCCCAGACGATGCCCTCACAACAGCGTTACTATTTCAGGAGGCGAAGGTTTGCTGAATTAGATAGGCTTTCATGTGAAAAAGATTAAGGATGAGTTACAGCCACTAATGGACACCTCTTAGGATTGCCATCCCAAAAACATAGCCCATGATTTTTTCAAATCATTATGGGATTCATTGGCCTAAAGAAGATTTGACCAGTAGGCTTGTGAAGTAGCGGTTCTAAGAAGATTGTGTGGCGCATCCTGAAGGGGTCAAAGTCTTTGTTTATGTCTGCCGTATTAACGCATTGATGTAGCGCGCATTTTGGCTTTTTTGGCGCCGTGGAGCAGGCGCAATTTTGCGCAGCCACCTCACCTCGCAGCCCTCGAAAATTTTGAATGACAACTTTGCGAAGCATCAATGGCAGAGCATTTTAGCAATATTCGATGCGTAGAAATACCTTGGGGGATGGTGATGGAACTCCGGCCAAAAATGTGTAAAGGTAGTGAGAAGGCAAATTTTAGTCCTTTCTCTATAATGGATATCGAAATTAATTTTGAAGTCCTATGCCGAGAAAATCATATTTTCTTATAGGAGTAGGTTTGCAGTCACTTCTGCTACTGTTTTTACTGAGATGCTCATGAGAATAGAAGAAAAAAGAGGAATGAACCGCAGCCAGTCCCACAGGCGCTTGGGAAACTTCTGTTAAACTGAAGGATATCTGACTATACGGTGAACCAATTCGTTTACAGTTCTTTTATGGTATGATCCAAAGAATAAACACAAACAACTGGGAAGAAGCCCGCATATGCGCTAGAAAAAGGGATGAAAGGTGTGAAGTGGTGAAAAAGGTGACGCACCGCGTCTTGCTGTCGTCATTGTATTAATTTCGTGAACTACAGTATGTCCTTCCAGTTCTATGGCCTCGGTCATCTCGTCGAACAAATCTCGCTGCTCTCCAAGAATTCCACTGGCTACCACGACATCAAAGCGCCGAGAAAATGAACCATTTCGAGTAATAAATTGAACCCTGTTATTGAGTTCGTACCTGCTTACTGGAAAAGATGAGATCTCAGGACTGAAAATTGATAGTCTTTAACATTTGCCGCACCGCTAAATATTGTCGGCCAAAAACTCTTTGACACATAGGACGTTCAGGCCGCTCCTCCGAGCACGTCTACTACTCGATCAGTTGAGGCAGCTAATGTTTACTCAGGTCAATCACTGATACATGCATTCCTCAGCATATCTATAGCGCATTACAGCCAAAATATCCGACGCTTGGTTAATAGCATTTTCAGAATATGAGCGGTTTCACAGGCAAAAAAAATGTCAGCCAAATATGTAGAGCAATACGTAGCCTGACAAGTAGTAGTTCGAGAGTTCAGATATAATATTAGGTTCTTTCAAAAGTTCATGCGCATTTGGTCTCTTACCACATGTCTTACGCCCGTTTTAGCAATTACTAGGCCCACCTTGTTGCCTCCTTCGAGTTCAAAGTGAGAAAAAGAACAGAGCCATGTCATTCGCACTCTGATCTACCAACTTCTACTAAGCACCAGTCGACCGAAGTCGAAAGTAATATTTGCACTGCGACACACCTCCTTGTCGCTGCCGGCCATGCGATCCCAGAATGGGTGGATGTCCTCCGAGACTACAGCCTGGAGAAAACACTAGTTCAGGAAGGCCACCGGTGTCGGATTTGGACAGGCTGCGCTCTATCGAAGCCAATCCACGCAGGATTACGTGCAACGTGGCCACCACACCTAATACACACTTGATAGTGGTTTTCGCTCCTATGTGAGAGAGCGGAACTGCCAAAATTTCCCTCGTGAATTGACCATCGTCGACAGGAGTAAGACAGGAGCTCCTACTGTAACTTGTTTCCTCCTCCACCTACGCACTGGTTGGACAAAACCTTTACTACAGTTGAGAGGTGCGCAAGTTTTATGGCAACCACATCGTGCGGAAGTTCAGGGCTGGATCAAGCAGAACGTGAGTTGAAAAATGGCAATTCACCAACGTTAAGGTTGGATGCGCCTTTTTCGAAGCGTTCTCGACTCGACCATTAAAAAGCTTTACCTCCTTACAGCTATGAAGTCAGTCAGTCTATTCTTGAGTGATCAACGGTAGAGTCTCACGGCTAATCTCTCAGCAACCGCCCCGAAAACTCGAAGAAGTCCGACCACTCCATCACAGCCGAGAGCTCGTGCTTCAAAAATGACGTGACTCCATAGATGTAGATTTCGAAGCTTGGCCGAGATGAACTACCATATCCACCTGGCAGCGTGGATTAAACTCCCTTCTGAAGACGTAGCCTTCTTTCCTTGGCAGTCATCTTACGGACAAGAAATACGATTCCCATGAGCACCTCGGAGTCGAACTCACTGCCTTCTTCAGCTGGTAACGGTCAGGCTTTTGGGAGTGGAGTGGCCCCACTTCGGTTGGTTGTTGGCAACAAATCAATTGATGGTGATTGTGCTGATGATAGATAGCGCTTGTGCTCAAAATGAGATGGGTTTGAAAAAAAGTCCACGAACATTTGGGACAGCCTAATAATAACAAAGCTGCTCACCATTTTCGATCACCGTCGTTGACGGGTGGAGTTTGCTAAGTAGGCATGACTTGTGCTATGAGACGGGACAATGGGATTCTTCGTAGTTCTGCAAGGTATGAAGAATGATGAATGGGGCAAAATTTTAGAAAGTGGTACAGACCTTGTTCTGTGGCGAGCCTGAGCCTGAATTCCAACACAGTTCCAGAGGAATTTTTTTTATTATGAGCCTGCTTCCAATGTCACAACAATTGAACCAAACACAATACCATAATATGCATCTGAATTAATTAAAAGGCAAAAGTGAGGATGGAAGATAGGCAAGGCGTAAATCAAATAAGAATTTAAAGAAGTGCAATTTCCATCATAAAATTAATCAATAAACAAAAAAACAATGCAACGAAGAACAAAAGTGAAGAAGCGCTTTCAAATCAAAGACCTGTAGCTATTCTGATGCAGTGGCTCGAGAGATGAGCCAGATAGAATCAGAACAAGCATTGTGAGCAACACTAAGAAGTCTGCAGTAACACATTTTAAAATTACTATCACGACACCGATGGAGCAGAAATTGTGTAGTGTAGGAAAAATCCAATCAAACCATCCAATACACAATACACACATGCAAAAAAGCAATGAGTTGATACCAAATAGTGTCTTATCCAGTAAGAGGGGGCATTGCGGTGCACAGTCTGTTCCAGTGCCAATTTGCGTCAAGGAGTTCTTCCCATTCGCGACCGCGCAGGATTGCGCAATAGCAGCAGAGTCAGGAGATTTTTCTTCAATAAAATTCGAGTGGAGGGAGATTTCCTCTGCCCAGGGCTGGCGTAGATGAGCGAGGGTATGAAGATTCTTTTCATGAAAGAAAACTTTCCAATTTCCATTTGAAACAATGAAGGAATGTGCTTGCCGTAGTTTCGAAGGCGTAGAGCGCTCTAGATCGCAATGACTCCTCCCTTACTGGAAGAGAACTTTAAATGGGATTTCATCGGCTTGAACAACACCGCGTTTCGAGTTCAATGTCCATACTCGGGACAGGTGGGGACCTTAGTCGACGATCTGTTGCGTCAGCCGCACACGACCAATATTCGAGACGGGGATGGCATTACGCGAACTGTCGTTGATGTGGCACTAACGTCGATCGCTAAGTACCTGGAAAATTGCGAAGTGCCCTATTTAATTTTAGGCCATGTAGGCAGCAGCTAGCCTTAGGTTAATCTAATAGACTCTATTCAAAATGAAAGAAAGTACAAATATTGGGTTGATCCATGATTTCTGGCCGAATTTCAACACTTTGATTTATTCAAGTTTTATCGTTCCCAAAGAACAATTTTATCGTTCCCAAAGAACAATTCATCAAAAACATAACCACCATCATAATCGCCGATATGCACCCATTTGCTAAGGAACCAATGGTACTCCCAGAACGAGAGATGAAAAACTCGGAAGAGGTCGTTTTGAGAGTGGTTGTATTTACTGACTTTTTCCTCTCCTAGCTGCTGCTTTGAGGGAGCTGGGAAAGTGGCAGTACGATGGAGCAACGTTGGGGCTACACGATAGATGAAGTGTCGTGGTCCAGTCAGTTTCCCTCGAAACGTGGCGAGTTTTCTTTGCAATGTGATTTCGGGCGGTCCATCGGATGAAGGAGATTTTGTGACTTTTCCAACCGTCCTCCCGCACTGCTGCAGCCAACTTTGGAAGCTATTCCATGGTTACCTTGGCAATGCTTGTCTGCATAAAGTGAAATGGTGTATCTATGGGCCCTGGTTCTTGTCAAGTACGACCGCTTTCTCAACGGGTTACACCGTCACACGCACGAAACACAACAAGTTTATCGAACAACGAAACAATTAATTAACGAAACGGCACGCAATAATTACAAAAAAAAATATTAGAATCGGGATCACAATATTCGGGGCCTCGGTGATGGAGTCCTCGGGCCTTAGCGACGACGATGATGAGGGGATTGAGTTCGGGATGGAGAGGCGCGGCTTTGGGGTGCCCCTTCTGGGCTACTGCAGACAAGAAGACATCTGAAACGCTCCTCGCCCCCTTTTTATCCTAACAATTCCCGCCAAAACTACGCCTCTTGGGCGGTCGATCACCCCCTGACCTATCTAAACGGGTTCGACCACCCTCATGCCACATGCCGCCCCCCGGGTTAGTCGATGTCCTCATCGACACGAGCTCCTGCCTTTTAAGCTCTGGAAGGGGAATCAACGTGGCAACCCTTTTTCTGATAGTCTCGTACAACATTTTGGCACACGATACTGTGCAATCTGAGCCATAAAACGGTACTGCTAATTCCGGCGTACCAACCTCACAGAAGATTCTTCCGTTCTCAATGCGCGTTCCTGACGAGCGAAAAAATTGTCCTGGCCCGGCGCGCTTACAAATCGACTCTTCGAGCATCATCCACATTTCGACCATTCTTTTCCATGTCTGAATATTTTTTTCCACGACAGGGGGCCAAACTGCCACGATACGGCCGCCTTCCTCAAAGTGACGATCGCAAGCTTTCACTATACCGCATATCTCGTCCTCCTTACAGCATTGGTCAATCGGCCAGACGATAACCCAAATCTTATTAGTCGTCCATTCGTACAGCACTTCACGTAGGTCCTTGAACGATGCGACGACTCGAGTAGAAATCCCCCTTCTGGGGCCATCTTTCTCCAACAAGGCGGCGCAAGAAGGTGCCGCAAACGCTGTGGGCCCTTCTTGAATTGGTCTCCTTATCTTTTCTTCCTCCTCCAAGTCCTTTTTGAGTTTTTTCAAAGCTGCATCATACGTCTGTTCGAAACCAAACCCATCAATTTTTTCGTGTTTCCTTATTCCTTCCGTCATACATACAAACTCTGTCCAATCGAGACATTTGTCGTAGGCTAGTCTGAGAACTTTTCCCAGCGCTTCTTCGTCCAGACACGTGGCTCCTTCTTTCCAAAACTTGATCTTCGATGCTACATCAATATCCGTTCGCACAAAGATACTGGCTGCTCTCCAGGCGTTCCATAGTGTCCCGAATGACTTTTTCGAGAATGCGCCCGGAAACTGTATGTTGAGATCGCCTAGCTTGATATCCTTGAAGCATCCGTCTCTGCATACGTACTCGAGATGTCCTTTGTCCGATTTCGAGCGTATTTCCGCTCCTCTGAAAGAAGCACATGTTATTTTCTGCACTTTCACACATGGTTTCCTCCCTCTTTTACCCCTGTTTGTCACTGTGTCTACACGATCATCCGGGAGGTACGCTGGTAAGACTCTGAGCAAGTCGAATTGTACTCTGACTGGCTCTGTATTTTCTCCAATCCTAGTTATAACAGCAGAGTTCTCACTAGTCTCCAGCACGCGGAAAGGACCTGCCCACTCACAAATCAGTTTTGGGTGAGAATTCATGGCTTTCTCTTTGGGTGACAACATATAAACACGATCTCCCACTTTTGGAGGTTTATTC